GTGTGTGTGTGTGTGTGTGTGTGTGTGTGTGTGTGTGTGTGTGTGTGTGTGGCACAACTCTTACTTAAAATTCAACTAAGACAATGCGTTACAACAAGAGTTGGTATACTCTTTTGAGTTGCAGCACACGTTTCCCACTCGTAGTCACATCATAATTGGATATTCTATCTTTGTCTGGAGCTTTATCTTACGCCAAGTCGTGTATAGCATAGTCCGCTTAAGTTCTTCAATAGTATGAGACTTTCGTTTGATTTGTTGGGGTATGAATTTTACGGCGTTCACGACTGCATAATGAGGTTATCATTTGAGGGCGTTGTGGGGGTCTTCGTCCAAACATCTTAGGTTGATGAGCCTCGATGAAGGTCAGATGGTATCGCCTGCTAGCATGGTTTCTCTTGATTTTATGAACACTGCGTGGCGTTCCGTACAACTCTGTAGTTTCTTTTCCTGTCTGTTAACTCTTTGCAGACGTCTCGGACACATTTGTTAGATCAGCTGCTGAAGACCAAAATAATGCTGAGGCACATATAGAGCCGTCATACAGAAATCACAAACCCGAATTTACGTATTTCAAAATATGTACCTTGATGCCTGCCTTTTAAAGCAAAAGATAAAGAAATCAGAAGTGAAAAATGTGTAGAAGTTACGAAGTTATGCTTCTTTACTTTGAAAGGCCCCAAAAACCATTACGTCATACCAGAGTCGTCGACTGACCAGACCCGGCGTCCTCAAGGAGTTCGCTCACTTAGGGCGTGTATTCTGGTCATTCGACAACGCTGGAGGGCGTGCTGTTTTGGGGCCATAACGTCATAATTCAAGTAGATATTTCGATTTCCTTTTCTCTACCTGAAACTTCAAAACGCATGCTTCAGTAAGCATACGATGAAAAATGCAAACTCGTGCTTCTGATTTATGCATGCTTCGACATGTCGTGCCGAAACATTCTCTATTCTCTGCTGCTGTTTGGATATATGTCGTTACCCTAGAAGCACAAAGTTCTATCTACTCAGTACCTAGTTTTGAGAAATTTTGTTTTTGTTTTAGTAGAGGTTTTACGGCGCTCGCAACTGCATAAGGTCATATGAGCGCCATTGAGAAATTTGACGAAAATTTTGAGTTTCACATGTCGAGCTTTTTCGAATGCAGTTCTTTGAAAGTCTTGGTGACGACTCCGAATAATCTTACGGTTTTAATAGAACATAAAAAAACCAGTTTGGTTTTTGACCTTATGGTTTTAGTAACTCAAAACGGCCCAAAATATCAGAACTTCGTAATTCTAAGGTAGCAATGTGCCCGCTACGTTCTTAAAGAGTTAACGTCTGTCCACTGACGTATTCAAAGAAGATATAACCCTTTCTATTTGGTGGTTGTTACTCTCGATATTGCAAATCCACATTGTGTTCCATACACCTATGTAATTTTTTCCGTGTCTGTTAACGACTTTCCACGTGTAATATCCAAAGGGGAATATTTCTTTCAGTTTGATGGTGATATTTAAAAAAAAATTATTTGATACCCGTGGCCCTTGCTCTTCGGCTGTGCTGAATCAGATATCTGTGGTGGCAAGGCAATTAACTTTATCATTGCGTTCAAGAGTCATGGTTTCGGTTTCCGTTTGGGAAAGTCTTGTACGGCGCATCCTCTCAGTCGAAATCATCCAGCATGTCTAAATTGTATAGACAGGGGCGTATCAATCATAATATATAATAATATACTCATTTGTAATCAATTTCTTGCCGTTTCTTGATTGTTCAGTCTAATAGACCTTCCTGTCGGCACAATGTCTTATTGTTTCCTGAACTTTTTTGCTGTGCTCCTCTCATAATATTTTAAAGAGCTTCTAGTTGGATTGTGGGGGGTTGGTGGGTGCTTTGTTGTGGTTTGCTCCTTCTTTCCTGCCAAACATCTATCTTCCTTATCTTTCCAACTTCTTTTTTTGTGTTTGTTACTCTCTTGTAACGCCTCTAATCTTGTCACTTATATGACATAATCGTGTTGCAAGTGCCGTAAAACGCTTACTAAAACTAAAACAAAAGAAACCAATCGGATTTTGCTTTAATCGCAAGAGGGAATCCAATATCTAACGGGCCCTTGGCCTTCCACACCAAGGATGAGCGTTCGATTACGAGGGAAGATTAAAGATTGTTTGACATTTTTTTTACCCTTTCTGAAATTAAGAAATAACCAACATTACAGGAACTTCAAAGGTTGTCCCTTTTTGTCAGTGAGAGAGCACGTGCTGCTGGAAAAAGTTCGAGTCAAATGTTTGGGTTTGATAATGTTGGAGGAGACATGACCTGACTGAGACTAATATTCTTTCAGTTTCTTAGCCGTTTTCTCAATACAGAAAATTGAGAGCTGGTATGACGAGACTCCTTCTCTGGAGTAATTTAATTTTAGTAAGAGTTTCACGGCAATTGAAACACAATAAGGTCATAATATAAGTGCTGAAGATTAGAGGTGTTACAAGAGAGTAATAAACAAAACAAAAAAGAAGGAGGGGAGATAAAGACGATATATATTTGATAGGAAAGAAGAAGCAAACCACAATAGAGTACCTGCCAACCACCCACTCTCTAGAGTAAGCACCAAAAGTCAAAGCACAGGCTTGCTTAATCGCATCTATAGCAGTAACTTTCATTCACCTCTTCCTTCCTCTGTATTTCTGTCACTTGTCGCATTCCACTGTGGCCGTGTCTGTCTCTCGCTCATCCACTTCGTTCCATAAAAGATGTAGACCACTGTCAGATTTTACGTTTCCAGTGTGTGATGTCGGACGCCATTCCTTACTTCCCTTGGTCTTTCTTTTTTTCCCCCTTGCAACGCAGTAGTTGTGATCAGGCCTATTTTAAAATAAAATCTTTCTGTTTCTGTTTGTGTGACCGTAAAGGTGCACGAGCCCTGTTCGACGGTCCCAGAAAGCGTATTGCTACACTGTCTGCCAAGTTATTTTTCCGAGTTCTCTCATTTTTGCACTTCCCAAAAATGTAGAAAATGTCTCCATAAGTACTGCACAATCAGAAGATTAAAAATATCCGTATAGAAATACTGGCAAAGATATAACAATAACATTTCGTTAAGGAAGCAAACGCACGGGCACTTGAAATATCAAACAATGTCGGTATAAGTAATTAATTTTGCGTGTATCGACTAAGCTCTATGTACTTGAGAGAGACACAGTAACCCTCTAACCATGTACTGTATCACGAAAACGAGATATTATGTGCTGTCACAGTAGGTAAGTTTTGGTTTTAGTAGAGGTTTTACGGCGCTCGCAACTGCATAAGGTCATATGAGCGCCTGAAGATTAGAGGTGTTGCAAGAGAGTAACAAACATAAAGAAGAAGAAGAAGGGGAGATAAGAACGATAGATGTTTGATAGGAAAGAAGAAGAGTAGGTAAGACTTAATACTATAGATAGATAGATAGATAGATAGATAGATAGATAGATAGATAGATAGATAGATAGATAGATAGACAGACAGACAGACAGACAGACAAACACACAGATAGATAGATAGATAGATAGATAGATAGATAGATAGATAGATAGATAGATAGATAGATAGATAGATAGATAGATAGATAGATAGATAGGTACAGAGAGAGAGAGAAAGAGAGAGAGAGGGAGAGAGAGAGAGAGAGAGAGAGAGAGAGAGAGAGAGAGAGAGAGAGAGAGAGAGAGAGAGAGAGAGAGAGAGTATGTAATGTATGCAGTGTATCGCATGACACTGTATGAGCAATGAATGGCTTCAACTATCCCGAAGAAATAAGAAAAGTTTGCGTTAGGTTGTAGGCAACGCAAGAAATCAAAGTTCTGTTTGTTTTGTATAGTATTGCACGTTTGAATTTTGATACTCGTGTTAATATACAGTAATTACGTAGCCCTTTGAGAGCCCTTAGCTTTTTCAGTAGTTCTGTTCATGTTGATACGTAAGATGACACAAACGGTAAGTAAGTAAACACGATCGATGGCGATTGGATACGAGGTAGGCTTTTGCTGTGCTGTAAATAATTTTGATAGCAGTGAATGACAGATTGCAAATGGCTTTGAAGTCACTTTAAAACTATGGTCATTGTCATGGCAGGAAAAACACAACCATTAACAATTATCCAAACTATAGAGGCAACAGACTTATACTGTTTAAGTGATTTATTCTAGACACAAAGTAGGAAACTACTAGAAAGAAGGAAAAGGACAACTATCAACAGCCGACGACAGAAGACAGAAAGACAACATTTTCCACAACAAACGTTCAAGCAAAAAACAGCTCGCTTGTATCAGCTCGATCAAAAAAAAAATATCCGTAAAAACATAATATTTGAGCAATCATCAGAGTGCATTATCAAAGTAATTCCCGACTGGATCATTCGACCGAGGCAAACACTCTACAACAGAATGCAAATTAAATGTGGTCAGTTTTATCACAAGAAAAAAACCTAAAGTAACTGATGTTATTTCCTGGTAAGATCTTCACCGTTTTCACGAATAAATGTCCCCTCTAACTTGAAGTTCACAAGAGAGAGTTATTGCCAATGAGATTAAAATAATCCCGATAAAATGAAATTTAAAAAAAGATATATTATTAATGTATCTCCAACTTGTATAAGAAATGGAACACAGAATTATAAACTATCTAAAATGTTTATCCAATTAGCCGAGAGCTCTGCAGAGTAGACTGACAACTTTTTCCCATCGGGAGAAACTTGAACCAGCACTCTTTAGTTTTCAAAGACCCCAACCACGTCTCTTTTATGCGTTGCACGACTGAATTATACGTTCGCAAAGCTTCCATTTGAATCGCTAAATTTGGAAAGGCAAATAACTCCGATCCCGAGAGCACTCGAAGACGCACAGAGCTTCCAGTCCAAGAACCCTTGGGTAGAATTACTCACAGAACAGGTCCAATACTGTATAAACGCTCGCAGCATGGGGGTTAGATTTTGGTTTGACGCTCGCAGCATGAGAGTCAAATTCAGTTTGAGCAGCCACCGACGCAAGCATGAATCGGTTTCCATTAGGAATGGTCAAATCAAGCGTGCAAGCTGTGAGAAAACGGCGTTTCGTCGTCATTTCCATTGGACATATTGAACCGTTTCGAAGAGTTGAAACTCGTGCCGTTCTCAGCGACTTCCGAGATATTGCTGAGAGCATGATGCTCTTTCGCCATCACTTTTTCCCTGGCGAGATCCGCTCGGGTGACGTCACAAGAAACTCCTGTGAACTCAACCATTTGAGTGGCTGACTGCCGTCTGCTTGCACAAAGGTTGCTAGATCCGTTGTTACCGCACTTGAAGATACATCTCCGATTATCGGAGGAGGGCACAAAATCTTTTCCATCCGAGCTGCTTGAGCAGACACAACAACACAAGTAGGATCTCATTCTCGAGAACACACTGGAGTAGCCCTCTCGGAACTTTGGATTCATCCACCAATAGATGAACGGGTTATACGCGCAGCTGCTCATAGCCAGCCAATGGGAGGCGATCCAGACGACACGCATGTAGGCTGCGTCATACACAGAATTGTCTACGTCAAAAGCAATGGTGATGGCGTGTAAGGGCAGCCAGCAGATTCCGTAGATCCCAACCACTGTCAGCATCATCTTGATAATCTGTGAACGAGAGAGAAAGAGAATTAGAGAGAAGAACAATGTCAGAACAATGCACACGCATTAGGAAATTCTGCTTGACCCGAGGCCCAGTATACAAGTAGAAAGACAAACTTAGAGACAGAAAACAGAGAGAGAGAGAGAGAGAGAGAGAGAGAGAGAGAGAGAGAGAGAGAGAGAGAGAGAGAGAGAGAGAGAGAGACAGAGAGACAGAGAGAGAGAGAGGGGGGGGGGAGAGACAGAGAGAGATTCATCCAGAGACATGTTTTCGTCTTGATCGAAATGTCAGTTTGACTTGAGAGCCGAAAATCGAATCACGGAACCTTATCGATTTGACAAGAGGGACAGAAAAAGCTGAAAGTGGTTCCAAAATATCCGCTAAAAGAGTCACAGAGCCGATCCCACCCCGGACGTCTTTCAAAAACCATTTCTCAAAGCTTGTAAGATCTAACGCTAAACTTGCTTGAGGATTTGCTGTCAACCTGGAACGCCGATTAAAAAAAAAACCCAACCCAAAACCCCCAACAACTACACTCACAAAAAATTACCCATTAAAACTTAAAGATAAACAAGAGAAGAAATAAAGGAACATTCTTGTTGCTTTACGTTACATTTACTTTTATCCGCCGCTTATACCCTTTTGGGAGTCGCGGGATGAAAGAGACGTCTCTCTGCCACCAGCCGGAGAGCTTGGGCCAGGGAGATGCCATGAGTTGTTAGTGTTTCCCTGACTCCATCTATCCAGGTCTTTCTCTGTCGCCCTTTAAGCCTTGTTGCCATTGAATTTTATTTTTTTATGTATGCACGTTGCCGAACCAGTTTGATTCCACGCAATGTATTACATTGTCATTGGGCATATTTAAACGCAGTAGGGTTATTTCGCAGGCGGGACCTCTGAGTTCAGTGTATAGCTCCAATAGGCCAAGGCTAAATACATTTGCAAACAGTTTAAACGCTCTTCTTGGTATTCGAACCACCAGGGTCTTCCGCTTAGTAGGAAAGCGTAATGTCAACTGTACATTAGCCGCCCCGACTAATTTTCACAATGTCTCTTTTCTTGTAAAAGGCACACACAACAACACAATCAGTTTGCCGTCTTAAAGCGTAGTTTAACCAAGACGGGACAGACTTCAAGAAAAGAGGTAAAACAAATTCAGTTATTCCTTCTCTATTTAAATATTTAGAGTTATCCTCATCTTGAATTCGCAAATCCACCCCCCCCCCCACCCCTAACCAGGGCAATGCTACTGACTGAAGTGTCTTTAGGCCATTCCCAAAGGGGGGATATTAAAATGCTCTTATGCACTGTAGAATTTTAAATCGGCTGATTTATCAATGTCATGCGCATACTGTGCCAAAACAACATAGGGGGAACTGCTGCCTTTTCTTTCTTCATTCTTATTCATCGTTATTTTTTCCTCTATTTCTTTTTCTTTTGTATGTTTGCCACTCTCTTCTGAACTGCTACTTTGTGCTGTTGAGGCTAGAGAGGTGAGCAGAGTAAGCTCCCCGGTTTGGACTTCTTTGTTGACATCCACCTCTTGGTTTTTTAAGGTTTTAGTAAGTGTTTTACGGCACATGCAACACAATAAAGTCATATAGGTGCAACAGATTAGAGGTCTTACAAGAGAATAACATAATATACACAAAAGAAGGAGAGGAGAGGTCAGGACGATAGATGTTTGGTAGGAAAGAAGGAGCAAACCACATCAGAGCACCCGCCAACCACCTTCTCATCCCTTGGTGCTCATATGACCTTAATCAGTTGCGAGTACAGTAAAACCTTTCTAAAACTAAAAAGAAATCCCATATCTGACAGAGTTTTAGGCAGTCAAGATTCGCCAGTCATAATCGTGAGGCATCATGCGCTGGACAAAATAAATAATGAAGTCGAAGAAACGTTTTTCTGACAGTTCGGCAATTTTAATGGACTTTTAGTTTTTTGACTGGACCCCTTTATTATATCAAAGAAAACACATGTCCATGTGAATTTGACTGAAAAATGTTGATCAACAGGCTCAAAATGTGTAATTTTTTTCCATTTTAAAAGACTAAAGATATTGAAGTTACCGAAATTTGGCAGCTATTTCCTCGCTAATATTTCCACTGAAACCAGGCTACCCCACCTCCTTCAATAACAAATATCTAGACATAATAATATATTCAAGAAAGATGACTATTTTTTGAATGGAAGGCAATGGAATTGAATACGCTTTTAGATGATACCAATAATTCCACTTAACCAAAAATTGACGAGCGCCTGATTCCATAGCGTCAGAACATCTCTGCTCAAAAATCTTTATTAAAAAACCCATTATATTCTGTTGTCCTGGTCTTTGCCGTCGTTCAAGCTGTATTCTGTCTGTCCCCGCCTCATTTACTCTCTGTCTTCCGATTTCAAGGCTTTTATGTCTATTCTTGCTGCAATGTATCATGGCGATACTGCCGGGAGCAGAGGCAGAGGAGGTGATGGACAGCGGTGAGAACGAGCCGGAGCACGTGGCGTCCCACACGAGGCATTTGCCACCCTCGAACGGAAAGATGGTGATGCCACCCGGCATTATATTATTAAAGTATTGTCTTGCCCCCCCCCCCTTCCCTTACCAAATGTGTATTCTCATTTGTATCATAAAAACTTCATTTATTGTCCCTTTCTGATTGTATTATTACTGACCATCTGACTCGGGTTTCTGTCTACACTACCTAGTTTGATTTCTTGTCCTTTCACTTAATATTTCTCAAGTTCCTAAAAACACACTTTTCTTCTGCTTCAAGTTTATTTTGAGTTTCTGAAATATTATTTCTAGCATTCTCTGCTGTATAGAATGTTTGACGACACAAAGACTTTTAAAATAATATTTTCACTGTCATTGTAATCTTTCTGTCTATCAGGACAGGCCCCTTATTTTCTTTAAACTGTCTTTAGCTATTACAATTGTTCGTGTTTTTGGCTGTAGTAGGCTTGGATTTCAATATAATTTAGAAGAAAACAACCCCCAAAAAACAAAAACTCTGGAAGCTGAGCGAATTTGCCAAATCATACCATTCTCAATCTACCTACCTGTTCATCGGATAGCAACAATGCAAGAAAGTTTGGAGAGAGTGAGAGAGAGAGAGAGAGAGAGAGAGAGAGAGAGAGAAGAGAGAGGAGAGAGAGAGAGAGAGAGAGAGAGAGAGAGAGAGAGAGAGAGATTATCATTTTCTTCCAGGACAGTAACTTTTAAATGTAGTGCTGATGTGAAATAATGAGACATCTCAGCAATTGAATTTTCATAATTATAACTTCCCGAAAAACGATCCAGATTTTGTCTCGCCAGCCATAGACGATCGGTTTATAAATATAATAATTCCTCGAGAGCAAAAGTCTGACTTTCTTCCGAACTTCAAGAAGACAGCGACTTTAGAGATAAAAAAGACTCTCCTCCTCCTCTTTCTCCTCCTCCTCCTCCACCTTATCTGCTCTTCATCCGTCTTCCTCCTTCTTCCTCCTTCTTCCTCCTTCTTCCTCCTTCTTCCTCCTTCTTCCTCCTTCTTCCTCCTTCTCTTCCACATCCTCCTCTTTTTCTCTCTTTATCCTCCTTCCTTCTCATCCTCCTCTTCATCCTCCTCTCCCTCTTCCTCTTCCCCCTCCTCGGATACTAGTAAGAAATACATTCAGTTACTTCTGCTTTGTTTTCCGTAAGACTTATCAGTAAAGTGTTATCAGTGCCAGAATGAGGACTCTAGAAATATTAAAAATTAAAATAAATAAATCTTGGAATAAAATAAATAAGATGGTCTAGTTAATGTAAGTTAAAAATGAACTAATGATGATGATGATGATGATGATGAAGATGATGATGATGATGATGATGATGATGATGATGATGATATGATGATGATGATGATACAATAAATCATCAGTATATAAATTATATTAAATTTGAAAAATCTACTAAGTCTCAAACCCTTTTTTTTATTCCCTGCTACCTACAATGATGATGATGATGATGATGATGATGATGATGATGATGATGATGATGATGATGATGATGATGAT